GAGCTGTGTGCCGACCGGTGTCCGGGCACAGACCTCAGCCCTGCCCCCGCGGGGCCTGAGCTGTGTGCCGACCGGTGTCCGGGCACAGACCTCAGTCCTGCCCCCGTGGGGCCTGAGCTGACCGCCTATTGTCTGGTTCCTGTACTTCCAACAGGCTTCCGAGTTGGGGCACAGTCTGAACGAAAACGTTCTCAAGCCTGCTCAGGAGAAGGTAACATTGCGGAAACTGGGCGGTCTTGGCCGTTGGTACTACGGGGGTGAGGTTACCCCCGTTCACAGGACCTTCTTTTCTGGGGAGCAGCAGCTGGGGACGCGGGTGGGCCCTTCTTAGTATGTCCTTCTGGTGCCCCTCACTCCCCGATCTCTGAGGACTGGCCGTGTGCACAGATCCCCACTCTCCCCTCCCAGAAGGGCGGAGTTGTCATCGGACTCCCCCTCGCGCACACGCTTCACAGGGCGGTAGTCACAGAGCCCGTGCCCCGCCCCCCCGCGGCTCACGACAGGAGCCCAGTCCTCCCGGGTGAAGCTGCGCAGCGGGCCTTTGTTTTTAATGTACTTTATTTTTTAGAGCACATTTAGGTTTACAGAAAATTGAGCAAATTGTACACAGAGTTTCCATGTACGGCCATTCTTCGTTCTTCTCTGCTAACACCCCGTCCCTGTGGTTTGCTCGTTAGGAGTGATAAACCGATGTTGATACGTTGTTACTAACTGGAGTCCTTAGTCACTTAACGGTTCACCCTTGGTGTGGTACAGTCCTGTGGGTTGGACGGATTCATAATGTCACATGTCCACTGTGACACGTGTCCGCAGAACAGCTTAACTGCCCTCAGACCCTCGTCCCCCGATGACCCCTGTGCTCCCCGTGCCCCCCCCCCGTCCCCCCGAGGGGTCCCTTGCTCTGCCCTGTCATCTGCCATCTGGGTCACAGGTGCCACATCGGCAGCGGCTGGCCGGCATGTCCCTGGGCCACAGGGACAGGGTCCTCACATTAAAGCTTTGGGGGATTTCCCACCCAAGCGACATCTGCGTGAGGCTCTCATGTTGGGCTGTCTCTGGCTGTTCCCCATCCCTCTCGGCCCCCGACTAATGGCTGCTTCACCCCACGTAGGTGAAGGAGGGAAGGATTTTGGATGACGTGTCCAGTGGGGTCTCTCAGCTGGCGTCCAAGGTAGGCGGCCTGGCCTGCGGGCCCAGCACAAAGCCAGTCTCCATATTCCAGTGCCCGGCGCCAGGGTGGCTGGGTGCCTCCGGCCCCGCTAGAGAGCGAGTGCGTCATTTAGACTCAGGCTGCCAAGAGCTGAGGAATATGGAAACGGCTTGGCTGGGGGCTCACGCCGTCATTAACTGCTGCTTCTCTCCCTCTTGCCCTTTTCTCGCTGCCGCTGACCTTTCCCCGGGTAAGTGCCCAGGTGTCCCAGCCGAGCTGGCGGTGGAGCGTCCCCACGCGGGGGCCTGCCGTCCGTCCCAGTGCGAGGTTTTCTTCTGTTGAGAGGAGAGTCCTCGTGCTCACAGGAGCGAGCGAGCTGGCCCCTCCTGGCCTCTTTTGCTGCTCCAAGTGGCCAGTGTGAGCGCTGGGCGGCCACAGCCTGCCTTTGACGCCCCTGAGCCTGGTGAGCCAGTGTGGCCCCTGAGGACCGAGTGTGGCCTGCACCCAGCGTGCGTGTGGGAGACACACTGGTCGTTCCTGAACTTCACCCAGACACCTGCCCAGCGCTGCGTGTACGTGTCAGACCCCTGCCTCAGCTCCTCTTCATCTGCTTCCAGGTCCAGGGGGTTAGCAGTAAAGGGTGGCGAGACATGACAACCTTTTTTTCTGGTAAAACAGAGGAGTCCTCTGACAGGTGAGCCCCCAACAAATAAGCCCCCAGTGGGTTAGCCCCTGATGGGTGAGCCCCTGACGATACAGCCCCTGACGGGTGAGCCCCCGACGGGTGAGCCCCCGACGGTACAGCCCGACGGGTGAACCCCCAACGATACAGCCCCTGACGGGTGAGCCCCCGACGGGTGAGCCCCCGACGGTACAGCCCGACGGGTGAACCCCCAACGATACAGCCCCTGACGGGTGAGCCCCCGACGATACAGCCCCTGACGGGTGAGCCCCTGATGATACAGCCCCTGATGGGCACTTGGGCGAGGACTTTGCCATCTGTCCTCAGAGGATGTGGGCGGTGGTTGCTGGTTTTGTGCCGTGACTGTTCGTCCCTCCTGTTTTTCTCAAAGGCCTCCAGAGGGCAGTGGCTACCAGAACAGCAGCAGGGACCATGTCCAGGGCAGCACCATCGACCAGAGCTTCTGGGATACCTTCGGGAGCGCCGAGGCCCCCCGGGTCCGCCAGTCCCCAAGCAGCGGCAGTTGGACGTGTGTGGACAACTCGACGGAGCGCAAGAGCTCAGATAGCTGGGATGTCTGGGGCTCGGGCGCAGGCTCCAACCACAGGAACAGCAACAGCGACGGCTGGGAGAACTGGGAGGGTGGCTGGGAGGGTGCCGGTGGGGAGGGCCGGGCCAGGGCTGTGCAGAAGGCTGCGCCGCCCCCCGCGCCCGCCGAAGAGGGCTGGGACAACCAGAACTGGTAGGCCGTCCACCCGCTGTGACGCGACTGCCCTATCACACTGTCCTCATCGTCCTTCCACTCGGCCCCAGAGACCCCTCAGCGAGCAGACAGCTTTTCAGGAGATGGAGCCTGACTCCACCCAGGCCACTCAGTGCCCGTGGTCCTGGCTGTGTCAGGCAGAGGCGTGTCCGCCCCCCGAGTTCTCTCGGCCTCACCGGCTCCCGTGGCGCCTCTGAGTGCAGACAGTCCCACCTCTGACCCACCCATTAATAAACACTCCTGGACAGCAGGGCTGGACGGCAAGTGGTGCTGTCGGCCTGCAGGACAGCGCGCTGTGACACGTCTCCCAAGTCCGCGTGTTCCTCTTTCCTTTTAATGGAAAACCCGTGAGTTCAGAGGTGGGAGCCATGGAGCCAGCACTGCTGTGGGCTGTCCTCTCGTGCCCACTGTGGCCAGACAGCTCTCATGTCCCCTCCTTCCCAGCTCGTGCACGCAGACTGCACACTGGTGCCCAGCACGTCTGCGCTGAAGTTCCCTGTGCTGTGGTCTGCCCTAAGCAGCAACCCCCCAGAGTGCCCTGGTAGCTGGGGAGGGAGGCGCCCCACCTGACCCCCCGTCCCCTGCTCTCGTCTTGGACTGACACAGCCCTGTCACATGGGCTGTAGAAGCGAGAAAGCAGGTGGGGGCTGGCCAGGGTTTCTTCCTCAGGGTGTTCATGGCGCCCACTGGCTGTGCTCGCAGCACCTGGGACGCATCACCTGGCCCCCTGCCCATACTGCTCAGTCCCTGCCCTTCTGCCTGGGCCTGGTCACTGGGGTATCCAAGAGTCACACTTCGCTGGTCACTGCCACCCCAGCTCGTCCTGCTCAGCATCCGCGAACACGCCTGCTGCTCCATCTTCTTGCTTGCCCTCCCCTCGGGAGCATGCCATCCACTGCGTGTAACGAGGCCCCACCCGTCGTCAGCACCAACTCCCCATTTATGACTGGGGGGCGGTGCTGCTGCTTTTCCAGAACGTTTCCCACTAGGATGCCTGTCTCTCCCCTTGCTTGCGATGATGGTGTTCGTGCACGCCTGACATGAGGCAGGGGCCCGGCTGTGTCTGTGCTGCCTGCTCCCCTTCTGGCCCTGGGGTGTGGTGTGCCCCTCACGTCTGCACCCCTGCAGCCTGTGTGCTGGCCCTGCTGTGGTGCCCGCAGTCACCTGTAACAACAGCCTTAAACGTTTGGGGAGCCCTCCTGGGTGCTTGTTTCCTTAGGGTCAGAGTGGGCCGTGCATCAGAGGTCCGCCCCAGCCTCGCAGAGTACCAGGGGTGTGGGGGTGGGGCCCCGTGCGCTGAGGGTTCCTGAGCTGGGAGTGACCGAGGAGCTGGTGTGGGCGGCCCAGAGCCCCAGCTTTCCTGTTGTCAGAAGGGGAGGCATGATGTGCTGTGTGGGCTGGTGGGGACCGGACGCTGCCGGGCAGATGGAGAGCCAACACACTTCAGTCTCCAGCTGGGGCCATGGTCATCGGCTTGAAGCACGTAGGCGAACTGAGCGCGAGGGGCGGCCTTGCTGGAAGCTGGAGCTCGGGGACGCCGGAGACAACTGGGGCAGACGGTGCGGCTGCTCTCGAGGTGCCCGTTGGCGCGGCTGTCTGAGACCCATCGCGGCGGGTCTGACGGGCAATGGAGTTGGGGTCCTGGCGCTGGGAGCTGTGCTGGGCCCAACATTCTTGTTTCCATACCAGTCCCTCCAGTGTCAGAGGGATTGTGTGGGGCCTCCAGGGAGCTCCCAAGTTCAGGAGGATACTGGTGTCCGCTGGTCTTGACCTCAAGCGAGAACAGCGCTGCTGACCTGGGTCCCCGAGTCTGCTGGGTCCCCGTCCCCCCAGCAGGGGGCTGCGTTTCAACATTCGATTTGCCTGATGCCCTAAGTGGGAGGACTGCTTTCAAAGTTGCCCCAGCAGGGAGGTTTGAAGCACCTACGTCGGCCCTCCAAGGTCACCTGCAGACGTGACTCGGGATGCCAGGATGTGGTGGTCTGAGACACCTCTCCCGGCAAGCAAGGGCACCCCCTGCTCTGCGGGGCCGTCCGAGGTGGGTCCCTGCGGGCAGCTCGCTTCTTGGTATCGCCTGCCACGTGAGTGGCGTTGGGTGGGCTGTCACAGTAAAGCACAGAACCGGCTGAGTCCTTGGTCAATTCCAGAATGGCTGTCGCCATGGCGGACTGCGTGTGAAGGGCGGACACAGGCTGTTTTCCTACCCACCCCCCCAGGGAACAGCGGGGTACTGAGGGGGTGGGTGTCAAGAGTTGCCGTCACCCTCACCTGCTTCCGACAGCCCTGAGCTGGCACCATGAGGCCTCAAGGAGAGGTCCAGGCTGTACCCGCCATGGGCAGGCCCTCCAGGGAGCCAGCACAGGACAGCTGTGGGTCAGGGTGACCCAGCAAGGAGGGAATGCAGCCAAGGTTTTATTGGCAGGGATCGGGGGCTCCACAGCTGACTGTTGGCTGGGACAGAACTCTGGGCAGCCAGGGGCGTTGGGGCGCCAGGTGGGGAGGGCAGAAAGTGGAGGCGGTCTCCACAGGCCTGGGGCTCAGAAAACTGACCTCCATCTGGGACCCAGGGGGCTGTGGGGGTGGTGGCAGCCATGGAGGGGCAGCTGTGAGGGCCATGCAGGCCTGCGCCCGGTGCCTGCCCGGCCAGGTGGCTGCGGTAGGAACACGTCTTTCCCAAAGACCTAGTGTGGATGGTGGGAAGAGTGCCGGCGGGGTAGGGGTGGGGGGCGCAGGCTGGGACGGGTGCAGGAGGAGCCTGGACAGGCTTTGTTGGCCCTTTCTGAGCTGTGACCCTGGGCAGGCCACCTGTCGTGTCAGCCCCACGATCCTCGCTGAAAAGTGGGTGCAACACCAGGGGTCTCCCGAGGGACTGGGGGGTGTCGTGGATGTGGAGCGCCCCATGTGTGCAGGCTTTCTCTGGAGCAGAGGGCAGGGGTGCAGAGGCAGGCGGGGTCCCTACCCTCACGGAGCTCATGGTCCAGCTAGGCCAGGAGTGCTGCGAACTGACCAGCAGATCCTGCCCACCGTGCACACGTGTGAGAGTGCGCATGCGTGTTCCCAGGTGCACCTGTGACATGCCTGTGCCTGACCCCGGCAGCAGAGGGGCCTGTTCCAGGCGGGCTGGCCCGTGCGCCCTCTTCTGGCCTTGGCGCAGGTCTGCAGGTGCCGCCAGGCTCGCCCAGGCCCCCGGCGCCATCCTCACCAGATCTGGCATAGAAGTGTCCCGGCGAGAGTCCGCAGGGTCTTAGGCTCTGAGACCTCAAACCTATGGCAAGTCCTGAAGCTTCCTCCTCCTGTGTCCTCGGGGCAGTGGGTCTGAAGGTGGCAGGAGATGCAGACTTGCCGGCCGCTCCCCTGACTTCTCACCAGGGCAGGCAGGGCAGACGAGCACCTGGGCCACCTGGGGCAGAGCGGCCTCTGCCACTTCGTCCAGCTGGGGCCCATGGGGAGCATGGGGGTGACTAGGACCCACCCCCTCCTCCCAGGCTACTGCTGTGAACCATCCGACCTGGCCCACCGGCCCCTCCCGGCCTTCAGCCTCCTATGGTTCGCTCTTCAACTAGGACCTCCAAAATCCCCTAGATTTAGGGGCCCGCCTCCCCCAAAGCACCTTCTGCCTCTGGAAGCTGAGCTCAGAGCAGGGCCAGAGCTGGCGGGATGGGGGTGGGCTGGAGGCCCCAGCAGCCAGGGATCACAGAGCCGCAGCACCTCTGCAGACAGTGGAGCACCCATCGCAGAGCCAATGTGGTTTGGGGGTCTCAGGGAGCAGGTGGGGCAGGGGCAGGGCTCTTGGCATGATTGACAGGTGCCGCCTCAGGTAAGCTGTTCCATGGTCCTCAGCCACAGCCACGGGTGGAGCCACATGTGACCTTCCACAACCACCAGACAGACGTGCTCTGGAGGAGGGTGTGGCCGTGAGTGGTCTCTAGGTAGGGAGACAGGCGTGCCAGCTCGGAGAGGGACCTCCATGGGGCGCCCCGAGCGCCTGCTGCCACAGACATTAACATCCCACCGCCCAGCTGGGACATCCGTCTCCCACTGCCCCTGAGTGCATGGTCCAGGGGCCAGACCAAGTCCTCCACCTGCCCGCAGCGCAGGCCAGCGAGGGGGTCCCACAGAGTCAGTCGTCTGTCCGTTGGGGCAGCGCTGTGGCCCCTTTTACAGCCCCCAAAGGGTTCCCAGGTCAGGGAGCCCCACCTGCCCCCCACCTGGCAGCACTTCATCCAGGTGGGCCAAGCTCAGGCCCCTCAGGGTGGGCGGGCAGTGCTTGGCCAAGCCTCGCAGACGGGGTCTGGAGAAGTGGGTGGTGCAGGGGTGGATTCCCAGGAGGACTGAGCTTTGGGGTTTGGGTGCTGCGACCCGGCCCTGGGGTGACGCTGCAGGAGGAGAGTGACCCAAGGTTGGTGTGGTCTTCCCTGCCCCCAGCTGCAAGAGAACCCCCATGCAGCTGGGGTGTGGACACAGAGACCTAGTGGTGGCCAAGGCTCGGGACAAGGATGGCCCAAGTGGACCTGCCCGCACCCCCCACCCCAGGCCGGTGCCCAGGCCACCCTGTCAGCCCAGAGTTGCCTCCTCTGAGCCCCCTTTGGGGCAGGCCCCATGTGAAGGGGGGTCTTGTGCTTCATGACGCTGTAGCCCCTGCCTGCTGTCCCCTTGCCGTGGGATGTCTGAGCCCCAGGGCCTCTGCTTCCCTCAGGAAGGGCCAGGCCTGTGCGGGGCCGGAGGGGAGGATGCCGAGGGGTGGGCTGGGGCAGTGCCGTATCCTCACATAAAGCCCGGCCGCCCTGTGGCTGAAGCTGGACCCGACAGCCTGTCCCGGGAGGAGGTGGTGGGCTTTGTCCTGGCTCAGCAGGTCTGTGACCCAGAATGACCTTGACCCCATTCATGGGAGATGGGCCCCTACATAGGACAGGGGACCCACGGGGATGGAGGACCTGGGGGGATGGGGGAGTGGGGTGGCTGCCCCAGGCTGCTCACTGACCTGGGGGTCTCAGAACACAGCACCCTCCTGGGGTGTGGGGGAAGAGGAGGACAGTGTGCCACCGAGAGCTTGTGCTTGTGGTGGTGACCGCTGAGGCCCTGGCGGGGTCCTGCCATGTCAGGCCAGGTCTCTGGGGCAGGTCAGGAGGGCCAGGGCCTGGGAGAGGGCTCCAGGCTGAGCACTGGGAGACAGACCTGGGAGGCCCCCCCACAGGTGTGCCTTTCCCACGTGGCCTGTCCCTGGGGCCAGCTGGGGACAAACACCACAGGAAGGGGAGCCCCTGAGCACATGTGGGGTCAGGTCCTCGGTGTCCAGCAGGGTGGGGGTGGTCACTCAGGACCTGGGACACCTGGCCCCTCAGGTGAGTCTTTTCAGACTTTTTCCTGGAGCCCCAGTGCAGGGTCAGAGCTTGGGGTTGGGGCTCACAGATGCAGGGCCGTGGGAGGACCCAAGTCCTGCCCTAAGTGGGGTCGACTGCACAAAGCAGGGGAGGCAGCAGGGGCACAGTCATGGTTACCTTAGCAGACCCTGAGCCCTCCAGCTGTGAGCAGCTGGGGCATGCCCAGCACTGGGGTTTGTGAGGGCAGCTGTGTGTTTCCTAGACAATGGATCGCAGGCCTCTGGGCACTTGCAGATGTGTTTGGGGGTGCCCAGTGCCGCTGAGGTGGGGGGACGGGCAGGCTAACGACCTCCCCCCCACCACAGGCCTCACACCATGCGCCTCTGCTTCTATCTGTGGCTGTGACTGGGGGCCGCCCCGGGCACCGCGCAGGGCCAAGGTAAAGGAAGGGGGCATGCTTCTGGGGACCTGGGTGCCCCCATCACCCAGGGCCTCACCAAGGCGGCCTGGCCAGGCACGGCCCCACCAGAGGGATAAGCCTCTGCCTGCCCTCTGCTCTGTCCACACAGCCAGTTCCCATCAGCTGAATCCATGCTTAACTAAGAGCTGTTCAGGAATAAGGAAGAGAGGACAGAACAGACAGAGGGACCGTCCCCGCCCCCTCTCCAGGGACGGTGGGACTCACCGTCTCTCACCCCTGCCTGGCACTGCACTGTTGTGCTTCTTTGGCTGAGCCGTTACTGACGTGCTGTGCACACAATTCTCTGTCATACTGATATTTTGCTTTAATTATTTAACCAACGCCTTCTCCCTGTAAAAATCCCGAACAGGCCAAATCTAGCGTCCAAGGCTCCTCCCTCCCCGCCGGCATGGAGATGAGAGCAGCTCCCTCCCGCCCAGCACAGCTCGGTGTGGGACAGCCTCACGGATGATGGTTGCAGGGCGGCCCCTCTGTTCCCTTGGCTCTGAGCGGACCCCACGCAGGGCCTGGGTGGGGGTGACTGCTGGATGGGTGGGGGCCGAGGCCCTGGTCAGAATGCGGCCTCTGCTTGCCATCGAGGCGAGTGGCTGTGATGCTGTGAGGGTCCCTAAGCTCAGTTGAAGACCACGACTCTTCTCTGCTCAGTCTAGGACACGGTAGCTGGGGCAGCCCTCAGGGTTCCCTGGGCCTCCAGGCTCTGTTAGGGGCTGTGGCCCTGGGCCCCAAGGGGAAACTGAGTCGAGCAGAGGGAGGGCGAGAGCCTCGTCGAGGAGGGGTGTGGATGGGGAGGGTGTGGCGAGCTCTCAGTCTGAGTCTGGGATGTGGCTGGAGGGGTCTTTCCTGCTGTCTGCCTGCCATCTGTCCACCACCTCACCAAGGCCCCGAGACCCCAAGTCCTCAGAAAGGGGCGCGGGAAGACCTCCCTGAACAGATGGCCCTTCATGAGCACAGCAGCTGTGCTCACAGCTGGCTTTTCATGGCTCCCCTCGCCCCCCAAGACATCCTGCCTTTCAGCCCACAGCTCCCAGAGCACTGACTGGGCCACAGAGCGGGCTGAATTCCTCCATTGTGTGGCCCAGGCCCCCCAGCCCCTGGGGGCAGCCGGAAGAAGCCCTCTCTGTCCCCATTTCCCAAGAACAGCCGCTCCCCCCAGCCTCCGGAAGCTTCCCGAGAGGCACAGGGTTCTGAGCCTCTTGCCAGGAGAGCACCCAGGGTCAGCTGTGCCCAGGGCTCGGGCTGCTCCCTCCTCTACACCCCGGGGGCACCCACACCTCCCGCCCTGGGTCGGCACTCACACCTGTGGGGTGGGATCCTCTCACCCCAGAGCGAGGCCAGAGCTGGGCACACACAGGGCACTCACGCGTGCGCATAGACACACCTGCCATCAACATGCACACGCGCACACTGCCTTCCCCTGGGGGTGCCGCCCGGCGGGGACCTCGGCCTGGGGGCTGGGTGGGGGGTGTCTGCAGCTGCACAGCTGACTCTGTGCCCCTGGCCTTGGGGCAGGTTTCTGGGGGCAGCAGCTGCCGGGTTGGCCCAGTGCCCGACACAGGCAGCATCACTGCCCTCCCCCACCCCACGGCACTCCCAGGAGAGCCGATCAGGGCCTCCCTGCTGGGACAGGTCTCCCTCCCACTGAAGCCACCAGGGCAGGCCTCATCTTCTGAAGACACCCCCCACCACAGTGGGGCCGAGTCCCTTCAGGCTGGGTCCCTCGTAGCCCCCACAGCTCGGCACAGGGCAGCAGCCCTGATGTGCTGTCCTGTTCCCTCAGTGAGAGGCCTGAGGCTGGCAGTGCTGCCCGAGGACCGGCTGCAGATGAAGTGGAGGGAGGTGGAGGGCAGCAGCCTTGGCTACCTGGTGCAGGTAAAGCCCATGGCAAGTAAGGGCTACCCCCCTCCCACCCCGGGTTGCCCCTGGCCCCCTTGCCTGTCCTGGGAGTGAGAATACCGACCGCCAACGCGGTGGTTCTCTGCTCAGCTCAGGCATCCGCGTCCCACCGTCCCAAGCCCACAGCTGCCACGTGGCGCCTACGGGACGTGGTCTGCTCACTTCCCTGTCCTCTCTCGCTGCCCACCTCAGCTGACAGGAGCCCCGGAGAGTGCCCCGCCATGCAACTCTGCGCACAGGAGGCTCAGCGTTGTTTCCCAGGAAACGAGGGGTCCCTGCTCACACCGTGCTCAGAGCCCGGGAGGGTTGGAGAGGCCAGGATTCTGATCCCAGTGCGGGCGTGAGCAGGCCAGGGGCTGGACAAAAGCACCGATTCCCGCAATACCAGCTCCCTTTCCAGGGGGCCCAGGTGGTGCCTCAAGAGGCCTGGCCCATAGAACATTCCAGCATGGCGACAGCTGATTTTAAAAAATGTTTCAAAAACGGAGGCTTCACACATACAGAAAAGCGCAGAAAACCTAACTGTGCAGTCGCATGCATTGGCCCAAAGCGTGGGCACCATCAGGTCACCCCCAGGAGGAAATAGGGACACGCCCACACCCCAGAAGCCCCTCAGGCCCCTCCCAGTCTCTGACCCATCAGCTCCCAACCACCACCACCTTCTCGACTTCTAACGCCCAAGGTGGGCTTTGCCTGTCCCAAAACACGGCGCCTGCAGGATCGTGGCGTCTGCTCTTTCACGGCAGCGTGTTCGGGTGGGCACTTTGCTCTGTGCTGTGTGAGGGTGGTCCCCCTGCAGCGCATACTGCAATGGCGGACCCATTCTAGTGTCAATGGGCATTTGGGTGGGTGGTTCCAGTTCTGGGTACTGCGAATCACGCCTTGGTGAGCTGTCTCGTGCCTGCCTTCCGGGGTCCACAAGCGTGCGTTCCTGCTGGGTCTAAATGTAGGGCTGGGGGCACCAGGGCGTCGGGCATGCACACTTTTATGTCAGTGCAAACAGCTGTCTTCATTTCCTGCGGCTGCCTTAACAAAACGCCACAAAGTGGATGTTTTTAAAGAACAGAAATTTGTTATCTCCCAGCACTGGAGGCTGAAAGTCCGAACTCAAGGCATCAGCAGGGCCACACTCTCTCTGCTGCTCTGGGGGAAGATCCTTGCTTGTCTCTTCTAGTTCCTTTATAAATTCTGGATCTGAGTATCCAGTCCAACTAATCCTTTTCTTTTATGGCAGAGCCTTTTGTGTCCTGCTGACATTTGTGTCTACCTAAAAATCATGAAGATGTTCTTTTCTCTTTACTTACAGAAGGTTTATTATTTTAACTTTCATGTGAGGTCTATAATCCATTTTGGATTAATTCTTGTATATGGTGTGAGATAGGGATCAAAGTTTATTCTGTTCCATATGGATGTCCAGTTGCTCCTGCATGATTTATTGTAAAAGGCTTTGCCGTCTATAGAATTTCGGGTTGGCACTTATGTTCTTTCAGCACTTTGAAGACATCTTTCTACCGTTTTCTGGCTTCTCCTGTTTTGGTCTGTTCTTGTTTTCCTTGAGAATTCACTATTAGCCCAATTGTTTCTCTTTTAGAGATAATCTCTCTTTCTCTCTGTCTCATTCTGATGGTCATAGGTGTGGATTTCTTTATCTTGCTTCAGCTTCATAGGGTTTCTTGAATCTGTGTCTCATCATCTGACAGTTCTGGAACATTCTTAGCCATTGTCTCTTTAACTACTGATTGTGCTCCATTTTCTCTCTCCCCTGTTCAGGGACTCTAATTACATGTATGTATCTCCTCACTGTATCTATCTCTTACTCTTTCTTCCATATTTTCCATCCCTTTATCTCTCTATTCTTCATGCTGTATATTTGATTCTGACCTACCTTCTACTATTTCCCTCTTCATTTGTGTCTAAGAAACTATTAAGCCATTCTTTGAATTTCTCACTTCAGTTCTTGTGTTTTTCCATTCTAGAATTTCTATTTGACTCTTTTTTATTGTTTCTATTGTGAGACCAAAATCCATAGGCTTGTCTTTTAAATCCTCAAACTAGTTAGCATAGTTATTTTAAAGTCTGCATCTGATAACTCCATTATCTGGATTCCTCTGTGGATCTCTTTCTATTATCTGTTGTTTTTCTTGATTTCCAATCACATTGTCTTGTTCCTTTGTATACCTGGTTATTTTTCATTGAGTGTCAGACATTATAAATGAAAAATTGTGAAAATAATTTGTGGCCTTGTATCATGTCTTCCTGCAGAAGTAATCTGTTTCTGGCAGATGGCAATGCAAACTAGTAGTTTTGGATCATCTGAATTCCATTTTAGAAGTTAAGATTATTGGAAGTTCAGCTTCGGTCCCTGCAAAAACCAGTCTATTTCCCATTAGCCCTTGCTGCTAGGGTGTAGCTCTTCAAGATCTCAACCTAAAGCATGAGGGACAGGGCGGGTACCAAGGACTCACCTCCTCAAAGGCTGGTGACTCCCATGTTTGTCCCTCAAGCCCCCAAGGCTGTCAGAAGCTCTGCTCAGCTTCTTGGCTTCTCTCCCAGAATCCACAGACAGCCAAGTGTAAAACCTGCCCCACGGGCTGGGCTGACTTCTTGGGTTTTCCTCTTCTTCCAGGTCATGGCCTTGCAATTCTTCATTGCCTTGTTACTTCCCGGCCATTCAAGCATATTCTTAAAAAATATTTTGTCCAGATTTTCTCACTGCTGTCAGCAGGAGAGTCATCTAGTTTACCTAGCCTGCCTTTCCCAGAAGCAGAAACCTGGCTGCTGCCATTACATGTCATCTGCTTGGGTGAAGAGGCAGGGTGCCCTGCAGAGCTGCCTGTTTTCTGGGTTATAAAACTCTAAGCAAAGACAGCACGAGCAAGCCTCAGTGAGTGCTTGTTGAATTAATGCATTAAAGCTCCCTGCCTGTGTATTTATTTACCATTCTATCTTTTAACACATACTTAACTTTTTTTAAAAAACAGTGAGCCTGTAAGAGCACATGGGGTGTTCAGGATTAGGACTCTGTTCTTGTGTTGAGGCTCTGACTGCATAAGGGCCAGTGTGCAGCGGACGGGTGGAGGGGCAGGGTTGGGGTGGGGAAGCCAGGGAGATGGCAGGGAATATGGTCGTGGTGGGACTGGAAAAAACAACAGGACTTGAGGGGTGAAATGTGAACGGAGCTGATGTTAACCCCAGGAAGCCCAAGTCCCCAGGGCCAGTCTGGGGATGTCTGAGGTGGGATGTGGTGTGAGGCAGCAAGCAGGGAAGTGTACGTATGTGTGTGTGAATATGTGTGCGTAAGAGTGTGTGAATGTGTGTATGTCTGTGACAGTGTGTGTGTGTATGAGTGTGAGTTTGTGTGTTCGTGTATGTGTGAGAGCAAGCAGGTATGCGAATGTGTCTGAGAACATGAGTGTATGTAAGTGTATATGAATGTCTGTGTGTGAGTGTATGAGTGTATATGAATGTGTGTGAGTGTGTGTGTGTGTATATGAATACGTCCGAGAGTGTGTGTGTGAGAGAGAATTCCACAGTCTATTTACTTGTTGATCACACACTGGTGTGATGGCCTCAGGACGTGGAGGACCTGGGTTCAAGTCCCGATTCTACCACATAATAGCTGTGTGGCTTAGTCCTTGGTGCCTCAGTTTTCCCATCTGTAAAATGAGGATCACAGGGTTGTGAGGATTACGCAGGTTGATACACGTGAAGCGCTTAGGGTGGGGCCGGGCGCACAGCAAATACTCAGTAACGATCTGTGATCAGCAGGATGGACAACAGATGCGCCTGTTGGTGACTGTCTCCATGTCTGCGTAGCTGAGCACTCCCTGGGAGCAAGCCTCCTCCTGGTCTGTGCTGCCTCCCAGGCGTGGAGCTGGATCTGGAGCTTGGCGCGGGGCTGTGGGGACCGTTGGCTGTAGACAGACTTGGTCTGCTTTCTTCTCTGGGAGCTGGGCGGGGCCTCTTGCTCTCCCATTTTTCTAGTGTCTGAGAGCCCGAGAATCACCAGGTGCCTCCTGAGTCCGACTGCAGTCTCTCGGCTTTATTTCAAGGCCATTTCCTCTCGCTCTTTCCTCTGAGAACGTGACAAACCATCCCCTTTGGTATCGTCTGTTCCTTTTTGACATGGCGGTGTCATAGGGCCTCTTGCTGTCCAGGGTGGGTGGAGGCCTGGTTCTTCCTGCCAGACCTGAGCTCCTCCTCCTCCTCCTCCGTCCCCGCCTGCCCGCCCCGGTGGAGTCCCTGCCTGCCCGCCCTGATGGAGTCCCCCTGTCACTGGGCACCTCAGTGGTTTATGGATTCTCATTGCGCAACAAATTCCTCTGAGAGATTTTGCAAAGGACGTATTAGTTTACTGCCACAGAATTCTCTCTTGACTCATTACCCAGGGTGCAGCCCCTCACTGACCCCTTAAACCTACCCCTTCTCTTCCTGGGTCCCATGGGGAGGAGCTTAGGAAGGACCCAGGGGACCTCAGCCCCCCAGATCCATGCCCACCCACCAGCTCTCCCCCTGTCCTAGGGGACTCAGAGCTGGGGAAGGACCCAGGGGACCTCACACCCCAAGACCCACACCCGCCCACCAGCTCTCCACACCCCAGGGGACTCGGAGCAGGAGGTGATGCTGACTACCAAGACCCCCAAGGCTATAGTGGGGGGCCTGAGCCCCTCCAAGGAGTACACGCTGCAGATCTTTGCACTGTCGGGCTCAGGGCTCATCCTGCTGGCTCGGAGGGAGTTTGTGAGTGAGTCCAGTGGCCCCCAGACCTGATCCCAGCCCTGCAGCCCCTACAGCTCTGGGCCAGGGGCCGGGGCCTGGGGTTGAGTCCCAGTCCTAGCTGTCTTTCCTGCCCACCACCCAGGGGCTGGGGGAGCCAGGCTGAGGGTGAGCCCTCACGGGAAGGGATGTGTTGCAGGCCACCCCCATGCCCTACACCCCGGAAGGTGAGGCCCTGACAGCCCCTTGCCTCTCCCTGCAGTCGAGGATTTGAAGAGCCACTCCGTAGGCAGGAGCAGCCGGAGGCCGTGGGGGCCAGCCCTGGAGCCCACCCCCTCCCTGGTGGAGTGCCCAGACCCTGAGCCGACGTCGGAGGCCCGAGTCACCTGGGCCCCAAGCCACAACTCTCCCATCCTTGGTGGGTCCAAGTCACTGGGGGCGGGGGTACAGCTGCTCGGGCCTCAGCATGTGGCCAGAAGCTCTTCCTCACGTCTGACCTCTCTCTAGCTTTACTTAACTTGCCCATCACCCGCCTGGATTCACTCCTACCAAGGCCACGGGGTAGGGGGGTCAGCTTATCCCGTGGGGTGTACTCGGGCCCCACCCTCTGGAGCCCCCGCCTGAATTGGGGAGGTGACAGCTGACACAGCAGTGCCTGCCCCCAGGAGTGCCTGGGAAGGAGCAGCTCACACAGGTGAAGGGGACGGCCCTTGCACAGCTGGCCCCGGATGCCGGATGCCGAGAGACAGCACCACCCTGCGGCCTCCCCTGCAGAGAGAGAGAAGTCAGGTGGGATAATGCCGGGTGTGAGGGGTGGGGGTGGAGGCACACGGTCTGGAGCTTTCTGTCTGCGCGGACAGAGGCCTGGGTCCCAGTCCCAATCTGCCTCTTCCTGGCTGGGTGGCCTTGGACAGCTTTCCCGTGCCTCAGTTTCCCACCTGGAAAAGAGAGCTAATGACAGCCACCTTGCCATGTCTGTGAGGGTCAGATTGGGGCCCTGTGTAGCCTTGGTCCCATCTAGACCCTGTCCCCACAGGGGCCCCGTTCCGCTGCACGCCCCCCATCACCACAGGGGCCCCATTCTGCTGCAAGCCCCCCCGCCCACAGGGGCCCCGTTCCGCTGCACGCCCCCCGTGCCCACGGACGTGGTCTTCCTGGTGGACGGGTCCTGGAGCATCAGCCACAGGAACTTCCAGCTCGTCAAGGACTTCTTGGCCAGCGCCATGGTGTCCCCTTTCGAGATTGACCCTGACAAAGTCCAAGTAGGTGGGTGCTGCCCTGCCGTGCCCGGGCCCAGGGTGGCGTCCATTCCCTCTGTGAGTTCCCCTCCAAAGGGCCCGACCGCGCACGATCAGGAGGGAGTGGCCTCTCGTGGCCTCGGCAGCCAGAGCCCAGGTGTTGGCCGGTGGCTCCTTGAGGGAGCCAGAGCTGGCCCTCGGCCCCGGACCACCCATAGCCCCACACTGGCTGGGTGGCGAGGGGACTCCTGGCTTTGAGCAGGGGCTTTCCAGACACTTCTTCCGGGTGGGGCTGAGGGCTCCACAGGCAGGTGTGTGCCCTGCTCCTGCCGACAGCTGTGCAGCCTTTCTCCGGCCATGCCAGTGACCCCTCTTCCTCCAGGCCTGACTCAGTACAGTGGGGACCCCCAGACTGAGTGGGACCTGAACTCCTTCGGCACCAAAGAGGAGGTTCTGGGCGCCATAGGCTGCCTGCGCTACAAGGGGGGCAACACGTTCACAGGTACGCCAGGCTGCCCCCCACCCCAGCCAGCCAGAGCAGTGCCCCCACCCAGGTCTGTGCTGAAACCCTGCTCCCTGCTCCCCGATCCTGACCACCTTGTGCCGTCCAGCCCCTCCCCCTCCACCCTGACCACAGTGGGCTCTCCAGCCCCTCCCCCATCCTGACCACCATGTACCGTCCAGTCCCTCTCCATCCTGACCACAGTGTGTCTCCAACCCCCCCATCCCGACCCCATCCTGGCCTTGGTGTGCCGGCAGCCCCTCCCCTATCCTGACTGTGGTGTGCCGTCCAGCCCCTCCTCCTCCATCCTGACTGGCAGCCTGAGGTCACGATCACCCCTTGTTGTTGACCTTTGGCAAAGCACACATTCTCTGGTCCATAGAAGCTGGTTGAGTCCACACCCCCAGCCCTGATGGAGGACCCCTTCTGGGTGGGTCCCCCATGGGAGTGGGCATGGCTGTCCCTGGAAGCAGCCCCCCTGGGTATCTCCAGCAGGCCGACCTCCTACTGCCCGAGTGCCCCTCTCCTCCCGTCCCCTCACTGAGAGCTGGACCTGGACATTCCAGGACCTCACGCTCCTGCGATGATGCCTGCTGGGCAGTGCCAGGGTGTGGGGTGCTCTGCAAGGGGAGGAGGGGAGTCCCTGCCCTCGGTGCCTCGGCCTGGAAGGAAGCCAGTACAGACGAGGTTGACAGAGAGCTCGGGCACCCACCCCCACGACTCCGGCCTGCACCCCGAAGGCCTCGCCCTGACACACGTGCTGACCGCCGGGCCCCGTGCGCAGGCGGCCAAGGCGGTTGTTCTGGTGACAGATGGCAAGTCTCAGGATGATGCCCGTGCCGCCGCCCGAGTCCTCAAGGACCTGGGTGCCCACGTGTTTACGGTTGGCGGGCTCCACGCAGGTGCTGCCGAGCGAATGTGGGAGTTCTCACGCAGGCTCGGGTGGGTGTGGGCTGGTGGCATGGAGGGGCTCCGGGGTCTCGGGCACATGGCTTGGAGTGGCCCCCACCCACCATGCTGACTCTGGCAACGGGCTGGGTTTGTGGAAGGGGCAGTGATCACAGAGGGCCCAGTGCAGCAGCATTCTCACCCTCTGTGTCCCCCCCCACCCCCCAGGAGTGAAGAACACCGACGAGGCCGAGCTACGACTCCTGGCATCACAGCCTCCGGACATCACTGTCCACAGCGTGCTGGACTTCCCTCAGCTCGGCACACTGGCCAGCCTGCTCAGCCGCCTCGTCTGCCAGCAGGTCCAGGGCAAGGGCCCACCACCGAGGGGTCCGGGTGAGGGCAGGGTGGCCTCACTGGCCGCAGCCAGGATTGCTGGGAGTGGCCGCCAGGGGGCACAGGAGGAGCTGTTAGTACCAGTCGTTCACTGGGCCGCTGACCATCACCTCTCCCCGCCAGTCACACCAGCAGCGGCCGCTCCAGCCCTGGGCCCACTCCCCGCCCCCGCTGGCCTGGTCCTGACCCAGGTGACCTCCTCCGGCGTCTGCCTGTCCTGGACTCCAGCCCCACAGCCACCCCTCAAGTATCTGATTGTGTGGCGCCCTTCCAGGGGCGGTACGCCCAGGGAGGTGAGAGAGGGTCCTCTGCCCCCTCCACTCTGGGACAGACCCCTTCCCAGTCCCAACCCATGCCACGTCGGGGCAGGTGGGGAAGGAGCGTGTGAGGACGGGCTGGATGGGGGCTCCGAGCCTGAGAGACTCACTCATTCTTGACTGCTGGATAATGGGTGGATGGATGGATGGATGGGTGGGTGGGTGGGTGGATAGATGGATGGATGATGGATGACGGAGGGCTGGATGACTGATTGTTGAGGCCTGGCTCCACGCCCGGTGCTGTTCCACCCTTGGTTGAGTGAACCCAGGACTCTGACCCCCAAGCTTGCACCCCAGTTCCCTGAGTTTTCCTGCCCTGCAACCAGGCCCCTGCACGCCCCCCTTCCCTGGACCCAGGCCCCTGCATGCCCCCCTTCCCCGCACCCAGGCCCCCAGTGCCCCTTCTGTTCCAGGTGGTGGTGGAGGCACCCATCTCATCTGTGGAGCTTCGAAACCTGACCTCCAGCACAGAGTACCTGATCTCCGTGCTTCCTGTCTACGCAGGCGGGGTCAGCGAGGGCCTCCGGGGCCTGGCAACCACATGTAGGTGGGGTGGGGTGTCCCTGTTTCCCCCAGAGCTGTGCCCCTTGGTGAGAGAGACTGAGAACGGTGGTGGGCAGCTGCTCCCTCAGGGCTGTTCCCTACAGGTATTTGGATGAGGGTGCTGTATCCCTCCTGACCGTAGCCCACCCTCTGCCCTAGCACCGCTCTCTCTGCCCCACACGCTGGCCCTGGCCACAGTGACACCCCAGACCATCCGCCTCACCTGGCAGCCCGTACCGGGGGCCACCCAGTACTTGGTTCGGTGGTTGCCCACCCCTCCCAAGGGCGAGGAGAGGAGAGAGGTACAGCTGGGCAGAGGTGGGTGGGCAGATGGTGGTGGGAGCGGGCAGGGAGTCACCTGTGCTCCTGGCTCTCCAGGTGAGGGTGGGGTGGTCCAAGGTGCTGCTGGACAGCCTGGAGCCGGGCCGCAACTACACCATCTCAGTGCAGAGCCTGCGAGGGTCGGAGGTCAGTGAGGCCCAGGGAGTCCAGGCCAGGACCCGTGAGTGCCCTGGGCTGCTCGCCCCTGAAGATGCCCACTCTGGGACCCCAGGCCGGGGTGCCAGAGTCTGAGCTGTGGTCTGCTCTGCAGTAGCTCTGGCGCCCCCTCGACACCTGGACTTTGAGAACGTGACCCACGACTCCGCCCGTGTGCTCTGGGAGGGCCCCCATGTACATCTCCAGCGAGGGTGGCCACTTGGGGCAGGTGAGGGACACCCTGCCTGGGCCTGGAGTGTCCTTCGGAGCACACGGGGGGCCCATCGTCCATAGGGGGACTCAGCACCCATGGGAGACCAAGTATTCATGGGGGTACCCAGTACTTATAGGAGACCCAGCACTTATGGGGAACCCGGTACCTGTGGGGGGACCCAGTTCCCATGTGGGGACCAAGCATTCATGGGGAAACCCAGCATCTACAGGGAATCCAGCACCCACGGGGGGACCCAGTGCCACGGGAGGATAAAGCACTCATCGAGACACAAAGCATTTATGCGAGAACCAGCATCTACACGGAACCCAGTGCCTGTGGGGGGACCTGGGACCCAGCACTCATGGGGGCCCCAGCACCCCCCTCCGGTGTGCCTTTGCCTCCTGGGACCCCCTCTGGACTTGGCTTAGGCGCCAGGGGGCAGAGCAGCATGGCCAGCTGGGCCCTGGCCAGCCAGTCAGGTAGGGGTGGGGGAGACGACGTGAAGCAGAAGACCGTGCAGACCCACGGACAGACCAGGGGTACACGGACTGGAGAGGTGGGCAGGCCAGCACTGGGTGATGCTGGGACCGGTGGCCCCACCCCATGCACATCGCGGCTCTGTGCCAGACCGTCCCTGCGGGCTCATGCTCCCCAGTTGCGTGTGGGGAGAGCAGGGCAGTCCGTTCTGGGCTGGAGGCCACCCTGGCAGCGGTCCCGGGTCTCTTCCTGGCTGAGCTGCCCCTCCGGTGGGAAAGTCGCTGAGGCGCCTGCCAGAGCCCCGCCCCGCCCGCCTCCAGCTGGAGGCTCCAGGGAACGCTTCCTCGGCCACCCTGGCCCCGCTCTCCTCCTCCACCACCTACAACGCCAGCGTCTACCCCGGGGGCGGCTCCTCCACGCTGACCGGCCGCGTGACCACGCGTGAGTGGGGGAGGGCGGGGCTGGGCCTGGGGGTGGGCCTGGGGGAGGGGCAGGGCCTGGGAGAAGGGCGGGGCTCCCGGGGAGGGGAGGGGCCTGGGGGAGGGGCAGGGCCTGGAGGAGGGCTGGGACAGGACTGGGCAGCGGAGCCTGGGGGCGGGGTGGGGGCATGCCCTCCTGCCCCGCTGGGCTGTGCCTCTGAGCACAAGAGTGTCAGGCGGTGGCGCAGGCATGCCCTGAGC